TCTTCTCTGCCTCACTCTCCCTCCCTTCCCCCTTCCTCCTTCCCTCGCTTTCCCTTTCCTTCTCATCTTTTTTTCTTTCATGCTTCCCTCCCAACCTCCTTCCTTTCCTGAATATCCTTTACCAAGTACAGCCCTGCAGTCTGTGCATTAGGTCTTGAAATACGGTGGATCTCCTCTTGCAGTTGCAGCTGGAGTCGGTTTGAATGACTTGTCTGCTCTAGGAAAGAACAAGCCTCACTGGCCGCCGTATTTCTACTGTCTTTCAAGCAGCTAGTTCTGTATGGCACATGTAATGAAGACACAATCAAAGTCAGAATGCATCCAGTCAAGAACAGAATAAGCGCGTATGCAGCCTTGGTCTTTTAAACGGCATTGTGCTGTATCTCTTCAAATATTTCTCTTATTCTCTTTCCTTTCCATCCTGGATCCCCTTCTTCCTCTGAGAACGGACATTATCTTTACAACATTCAGGTCATAATTATGTCAAAAAGAAATGACAGCTATCTCAGCAAAAGCGGTGGACGTAAGAAGAACGTGAGGCGTGTAGAACCTCCTTCTTTTCTCTTGGCTCCTGGCCCCAGCACTAGATTGCCTCCTCTGCCCCGTGTATCACTGAATGAGTCATTTTAGCACTCTTGTTCCCGTAGTGGCATTTCTTGCAGATATTTGTCAGATCCCAGATTGCAATAATTTGAGGAGGTCATATTTTCTTGATGTTAATTCCGACATCTGACATCAATTTAAAATTATAAGATGTATCCAAAAGGTAGCTATTGTCTTTCTAGGAGTGATGGCTGCAGTTCCAGTAGGTGACACAGGGTGTCCCAGTTAGAAAAACATGGCCAATCAATAGACTGGCTGCAGATTTAGCTAACGGGTGTCTTAGAAGAATAGATAGGATTTGGTCACGTGCCCCACATTCCTATGTGAACATGCGAGCACACACAAAACCACTCACGAACTTCTGTAAAAGAGAAGAGAAGGGAAGACTAGTCACCTATATTTTCATTCTAATATTATAGAATACGAGTTTTGGAAATACTATTTTCCAGATACAATTTTGTCTGTTTCAGTTATTACTCAGCTTAGTCAGTAAAACCGAGAATTATTTTATCTGATCTTGCCCAGCTTAGGTATTGAAAGCTTTTCTGAGACTTATTTCCGTGTGTGGCACATGTCAGACAGTGTGTTGAAGTGTTATGACTCCTGCTTTGTCTGAGAGAAAAACATCAGGGGCTGTCCCGGTGGCGCAGCAGTTAAGTGCGCACGTTCCGTTTAGGCAGCCCAGTGTTCGCTGGTTCAGATCCCGCGTGCGGACATGGCACTGCTTGGCACGCCATGCTGTGGTAGGCGTCGCACATATAAAGTAGAGGAAGATGGGCATGGATGTTAGCTCAGGGCCAGTCTTCCTCAGCGAAAAGAGGAGGATTGGCAGCAGTTAGCTCAGGGCTAATCTTCCTCAAAAAAAAAAAAAAGAAAGAAAAGCAAAACATCAGTGGTCTGAATTATGAGGGGTGAAGGGCATCATGGAGATGAGGCCTGACTCCACTAGAAACTGACTTTGTGATCTTGGACACACCTTTAAACTTCTCTGAGCCTCGGTTTTCTTCCACATAACTTCTGCTCACATTTAATTCCTGTAAGGTGGAAGTAGTCTAACCTTGTCCTAATATTACTAATTTCCTATTCATATTAGAAGGAACTCGTTTTCTGGAAAGGAAGTTCAGTCTGTGTAATTCCAAGCCTCTCTTTAGTCCTTTACTTTCTGGAAAGATGGAATACAAAATATAACAAATTTGGAGAAAAGGCCTGGGCACATACAGCTCAATTTCCTTCCTCCTGGGAGCAAGCCTCTCCCCAGAAAGCACGAGTTCCCATTGGGTCCTCCAGTCCTTGGGCTCACTGAGGAAAGACTACAATACGGGTGGGAGCTTACACCCGTTCAACCCTGCTTTACTGGGAAGATAATTCTGCCTCATTCTGGAGTTCAATGAGTAGATCTGTTGGCTATCACACTAAATGACTTTTTCCAGTTTAGTGATAGCAATAATAACAGCAATATTTTAGACTCATTTAATCTATTATTTGATTTTTTGACATACACAGACCCTGGTGAAATGGAGGGATGCTGATTATTGGGGGTTTCCTCGGAAACTGCAAAATCTGTCTGGTAGAGATTTGTGACGATTTCAGAGAACAAAGAGGTGATGCAGCACAGTGGTTAAAATGGTGGGCTGTGGTACCAGTCTATTTAAGTTTTAATCCTAATTTCAGCGTTTCCTAGCTATGTCCTTAGGCAAGGTATTAAATCTCTGTACCTCAGTGTTCTCATGTGTAAAATGGTACCTATAATCACCTTCAAGGGTGATTTTGGGGATTATGTGAATTAGTATATCCAGCACTTAGAATAGTGCCTAGTACATGGTCAGTACTCAGTAAATGTCAATTACCATTATGAACTATTACAGTTTAGTTACATACAATTCATCAGAGTAAGCATCCAAGAACATAGAGGTATTATTATCAACATTACTGTCACCAATATAGAAGAGATATTTGTGTTATTTAGGATAAGTAGGCAGAGTACATAGATATGCTGTAACAAAAAGACCCAAATATTCAACGACTTAGAGAAGAAGTCTATTTTTCACTTATGTAACAATCCAAAGAAATGAAGACTAACGTGCACCCAAAAATCTATACGTGAATGTTTATAGCAGCTTTATTCATAATGGCCTAAAACTGGAAACAACCCAGATATCTTTCAACGCGTGAATGATTGAACAAACTGTGGTACCTCCATACCATGAATGACTACTGAGTAATAAAAAAGAATGAACTATTGCTGCAATGACCTAGATGAATCTCTGGAGAATTATGCTGAATGAAAAAAAGGTAATTCAAAAAGATTGTATTCAGGGGCTGGCCCGTGGCCGAGTGGTTAAGTTCGTGCGCTCTGCTGCAGGCGGCCCAGTGTTTCGTTGGTTCGAATTCTGGGCGTGGACATGGCACTGCTCATCAAACCATGCTGAGGCAGCACCCCACATGCCACAACTAGAAGGACTCACAACGAAGAATATACAACTATGTACCGGGGGGCTTTGGGGAGAAAAAGGAAAAAAATAAAATCTTTAAAAAAAGAAAGATTGTATTCAATAAGATTCCATTTATATAACATTCTTGAAATGACAAAATTGTAGAAATAGAGGACAGAGGAGTAGTTGCCAGGGGTTAAGGAGGGGCGGGGGTGGAAGGGAAGTGGGTGTGGCCATAAAGGGCAACGTGAGGTGTCCACGTGGTGATGGGAATGTTTTGTATCTTGACCATATGACGTCAGTGTGCTAGCTGTGATATTGTACCATGGTTTTGCAAGATATTACCATAGAGGGGAACTGGGAAAAGGGTACCCTAGGCCTCTTTTATATTATTTCTTACGACTACATGTGAATCTGCAATTATTTCCAAATAAAAAATTTAATTAAAAAATCCCGATTTATTTCCTAAAAACAAACAAACGAAAAGATGGAAAATATAACTTGCACTATTTTATTTTTTAGCTTGCAAAAAGAAGAGTTTTATTTGGCATTAAGGATGAGAGTTAGGAAATGGAAGATCATCACTCCTGGGTTGCTGTTTTTCTGGATTTGGACTGTGAAAGCAAACTTCTTAGAAATAAGAACCCTCCTAAGTAGGAGCCTGGAGTGGAACTGGCGTTCTGAGAAAAGATACTCATCAACTCTTTTCCTGGACCTGAATCTTTCCTGGCTGGCTTAGCAGTTTTCAATTTTTGCCTGTCTTGCTGGGGAGATGTTTTCAATTGTAGATTCAAAGCTCTTGCTCCAGGTGCGCAGATAATCAAACTCGACATTTGTCTATTCTCATCTCAACGCCTAGAGATGACCATCCTATCTTCCGGTGGTGCCGAGTTCTCCAGCGCCTACAGAACAGCTTTCTCCCTAGCCAGGGATGTATATTTGGGATCCCAGAGTGGCACCTTCGTGTCAATGGGGTGAGGATGACTAGCTATGTGGCCTTAGGCAAGTCTTCCAACTTTTCTCTTTCCCCTTTCTCCCTTCCAGACCCATTATCCACCCTCTTCTGCGCCCCGGGAGGCTGACCCCTGTAGACCGCATCACTCGGGCTTCCTTGCCTGCTGACTCCCAAGGAGTCCCTTCCCTGCTTCGTTGGTTGCTATCGCCCTAGGAACGCATGACCCTCCGTGACCACATCCACCCCGGCAGCCACACCTCCACTCTGGGACTCCGATGAGCTTCCTTTGCATCTTCCTTCCCAGGGGCGGTAATGGCTCCCCCTGTTGGTAGTCGCTGGATACTTCATCCGCCGGTGGTGTTTCCCTGATTGGTGCGCACCTCAGTAAACAAGCCGTTTAAGAAAGTCCAGTTGCACCCCTTGAGGGAAACAGTTTTTGTTCGAGTCCTTGCCTGATAGGCTTTTTTAAAGCTATCAAATGGGGGCCACCTTCCGCGGTGTATCTGGGTGTAACTGCGAGGATCACGTGAGCTCGCATGCCGCAGTGTGTTTCAGAAGTGGAAGCATTCAACTGCGGGGCGGGGACACAGTTACGGCTGTGCTGACTCTTAAGGCCTGAGACATCTTCATAACCCTAAGGCATTTTGGAGTTTTCAGTATTTGAAATTTGCACAGTAAATACTTCAATAATTTAGGGAGCAAAAATTAGAGAGTGAAGACAAGACCATTTCCTGTTTTCAAGTATACAGACTCACTACCTCTCTGGAAGATACAGGAGTGTCTAGTTGAATTGTATTAGCTATTTATGGAAATTTCTCCCAGATGCTGGTAACAGGTTGATATACACATACTGCATCTAGCCTTAGTTTTCAGAGTTGCATTAAGTTTTGGTTTATGCCTGGGTTGTGTAGGTATTTCATTGAAAGTTAGGAGAAGATATATTAGAGGTTACTGGCAAGAGTTCATTTTTACCTAAAAACACCTTGAAAGCATAAGCTTTTAAATGGCTGCACACATGTCATAATTTATTTGTTAGAGAATTAGATTGTTTCCAGTTTTGCTCATGATAAACAGTGGATGAGTGACCCTTCTGGTATGTACAGTAGTCTGCACGTCATTCCACCACGCTCGGCACTGCTCAGGTTAGGTCCTGGTGGATACAGCAGCCAACGAAGCAGCTCTCCTCCAGAGATTCTAGCTGGGGAGAGAGACATTAAACAAATAATTGAATAAAAGGGGTAAAGCAGGTAAGGGAGATAGAGGATGAATTGCCTATTTAAATGGGGCAATCCCGGAATGCCTTTCTGATAGGGTGATATTTCAGCAGAGATCTGAATGACACGAAGGAGCAAGCCAGGCACACATGTGGGGGAAGGCATTCCTGGCAGAGGGAACAGCAAACGCAAAGGCCTGGAAACAGGAATGTGCCTGACATGCTTGAGGAACAGCCAAGGAGGTTTCTGGGATTGGAGAGGAATGAGTGAGCAGTAAGATCTGAAGTCAGAGGGAGAACCGGGGGCAAGATCTTGAAGGGTCCTATCCACCACTGGAAGGGCTCTGCCTGGTCCTTACAATGACGAGAGACCCTGGAGGGCTTGGAGTGCAGGAGTGACACGGTAACATTTTCATTTAAAGGCTCTCGTTGGCTGCTGTGTGGAAAATGCTCTAAGGGGGCCGGGGTGGAGTGAGGGTGACCAATCAGAAGGCTTTGGGGGTGATGTGGGGAGAGGTGGTGGTGGCTTGGACTAGTGTCGCCGTGGTGGTCATGAGAAATGGTTGGAGTTGGGCTGTATTTTGAAGGCAGATGTGGTAGAGTTTAATCATGGATTGGACGCGGAGCGTGAAAGAAAGGAGTTAATGATGATTCTGGGTTTTGCCCTGAGTGATGGTGGTTGGAGGATAAATAAATGACTGTCTAGTTGGGACAGTAGTTCTCAACCCGGGGTGATCTTGCTCCCCAGGGTGCATTTGACAGATAGTTTTGTTTGTCACAACTGGGGTGAGGGGGTGAGTACTACAGAAATCTAGTGTGTAGAAACCAGAGATGCTGCTAAACCTCCTACAAGGCATAGGGTAGCCCCCCGCAATAAGGAATTATCTGGCCCCAAGTGTCCATAGCGCTGAGGCTGAGAAATCCAGAGTTAGGGAGGTTGCTGCTTTTTTCTTTCCTCAGCCCCTTTCTTCGCGTGGCTTTGCTCTCTCCTCTCCAGATGGGTTTCTTTGCTGCTTCTTATACAAGTTAGGAAATGATTGGCCCAGCTCTCCCCTCTCCCTCCCACCAAATGTGACCTTTTTTTTTTTTTAATTGCAGTAACCTTCAGTTAGAGCATTATATAAATTTTGGGTGTACATCATATTTTGATTTCTGTGTAGATCACATCACGTTCACCACCCAAAATCTAATTACAAACCGTCACCACACACATGTGCCTAATCACCCCTTTCGCCCTCCTCCCTGCCCCCTTCCCCTCTGGTAACCACCAATCCAATCTCTGTCTCTATGTGTTTGTTTGTTGTTTTTATCTTCTATTTATGAGTGACATCATACACTATTTGACTTTCTCCCTCGGACTTCTTTCGCTTGGCATAATGTCCTCAGGTTCCATCCATGTTGTCACAAGTTGCAAGATTTCATCCTTTTTATGGCTGGGCAGTATTCCATTGTGTATATATACCACATCTTCTTATCCATTTGTCCCTTGATGGACACCTAGGTTGCTTCCAAGTCTTGGCTATTGTGAATAACGCTGCGACGAACATGCACCCCTATGTTCATAACTTGCATTTTTAACTTCTACCTGATTTTCAAAGACAACTCAAAACTGTTTCTTAAAAGAAGAAACTCTTCATTGGAAAGCTTATTCTCCCTGGAAAACTATATACACATTTGCAACAATTCACAACGGTTTGCTCATACTGTTCATTACTTGACCCACCATCTGAGGTCAGTCTAGACTACGTTTACTATGGCAAATGCCATTTTATTCACAGTTGACAGCTCTCCAGACCAGCAATCACATTCTAAAAGGCCAGCAAGTGACCCACTGCCAGTCTCTGGAGAGAAACAGAAGGTGGGGCATTTGCTGCTCTCGACTTTAAAGGTCACTTTGTGGCTCCTGGATCTAGGGTCTTGGAAGGACTGTCTGAGAGATGGTCCATTGGAGAGAAGAAGTTCTGGTATTCTCCAAAGGGCCAAGTCCCAGCACTTGCAACTGGCATGTAAAGATGAATTGGGGGAGAAGGGTCTGGGGCTGACTGGCTGCCCCACTTCCTCTTCTCTTCCTCTAAGTGCCTTCTATAAGTAAGGCGTCATGCGTAACATTCACTGACCCTTCTGAGGCCATTATCCTCTGATCCTCATTGTGTAGATGAAGAAACGTAAGCCTAGGAATGCAAAGGCTGCCCAAGGCCACACGGGCACTGTGAGTCTGATTCACACTGTAATATGTCTATTGCTCTGGCTCTGGCCACTGGTGCTCCAAAGGCTGAGTTAGGAAATCAAAACGAGCTTTCCCTGCGCAGATCTGGTTGGATATAACTCTAATCTGTGTTCTTGACCTCATGCCCCCTTTGCTACATCCGCCTCTGAGTAAACCTCAACCCTGTGCTGATGATCCCAGTCTGGCCACCCGACTTCAGTTCTGGACTCATTCCTTGGAGATTCAGTGCATCATTTTTCATCCAGACCATTGTCCAAGAATCTAAGGCAAAACCTGTCAAGGTGCCTTGAGGACGTTTGTCACTACAGCTTGCAAATCAATCATGTGGGAAAATCCATGAAAGTCATTGCCCTCTCCCCACCAATCCCTTATCCACAGAGTGAATACGGCATCTCCGCTACCCACTTCCAGCATCACCATTCTCTGCTATCCGCTGTTCACAGAGACAATGATAATAGCGAGTATTTAGGGAACGTTGTGGCCATCCTTCACTGCACCCTCTGAGATGGTTTCTATCACTATCTTTATTTAACACATAAGGAAACTGAGGTTTAGAGAGACTGAATAGTATCCCCAGGGTCACGCGGCTACAAAGCACAGAATTCTACTTCTCTGCACTAGCCTACCTCCAACTGATTGCACTGCCAAGCTCTGTCCTGGGCAGCATCTTGACTCTGCTTCACCGTGTGAACTAGTGGATCAGCAGGAAGGATTACTAAATTCTTTTGAGGCAATTATTCCCTCATGGTAGCTAGTTTTCAAGAGTAATGATCATATCATAAAAATATGACACAATAATTAAAAGCTTGGGCTCTGGAATCCAGCCATGTGCATAGTCCCTACTACACTGCTTACAAGTCTGTGACTCTCCCCAGGCACGTTACTTAGCTTTTCTGCATCTCAGTTTCCTTCTCTGCAAATCAGGGCTCCTAATGGTGGCTATCTCTAAAAGCTGCATAAGGAGTTTATAATTGGAGCATTGTCAGCGTCCGTGGAGCACTGAAGGAGTAGTTCATGGAGCATTTCCTTGTTGAGTTTTGTGAAAGGTCAGAAATGGATCGCTCAGTTTTCACAAGCATTCTCCAAACCCTAAGTACCTTTTAATCGCACCCCCTTTAACTACTCTCCTTTCCAGACTAAACTGTCCTAATCTTGGAAATCTTGCTTCCTTTGGAGCTGGAATCACAAGTACCAAAGTAGAAACAAAAACACTCTCTTCGGCATTTATGAGGAAAAGTGCTGCAGACTGCTCCTTCTCGGCAGAGCCCTTCCTGTGGAAAGACTGAAAAATTGACGCAGAGAAGTTCAAAGACTCAGAGCCGCTGAATCAAAACAAAATCCCTTAAAATTACGCTGATGGTTCTTCCAGATAAGCAGGTAATTCTTCAAGGTAATTTGGAGAGAATTCAACAGTGTTTATTAGAGGTTCACTTAAGAAAGCCAAACATTCAGCCCTAAAAGCAATTTCAAAGCAAAACTCTAAACAGTATTTTAGAATAAGGAGGAAATTATATGCACAATCGTACCTCCCAGGGGTTCTGAAGGATTAATGAGGGAAAAATAGAAGCTCTAGGGAGAAAATCACCAGAAGAATGACAGGAAATATGAGAAATTCACCATAAATGGGACAGGCTGACAAGGCATAATGTCCATAATGTGATTTTTAATAGACGTTAAATAAATACCTGTAGGTAGGTTGACTTTCTGTCCAATGGTATCAGAACACTGGGGAGGCATGATGGAGTGGAGTGACAATCGCTGGAAAGGGAAACTGGTTCAAACACACGTTACTTCTCTTTCCTTCTTTGACTCTAAATGTCAAAGGAGCGTTAGTATTTGTCCTAAAAAGAAATCTTAATAATTTCTTGGGGCTGCAAGTCAGACTATTTTATTTATTGAGAAAATGATACACAGAATATCAGATTTTATGATACTATTTATGATACATCACAGTCAGTGCCCCTACTGGGGGAAAAAAGCCACATTATTCCCCAATTAGGATAGAAAACATTAAAATGTTCAGCATTCTTAATAATAATAAACAGACAATGGGTGAATCTAAGGGCTTTAATAAATGTAAAATATGGATATATTATATTATTCTAAACCGTTATGTGAGTTCTTTAGGGGAAGATTGAAAAGCGGGCTGAACTTCTCTCTTAGGAATACTCTGGGGAAAACACTCTCGAGAATAACTCTCTGATCTTCCTGGAAGTCTTCATTGTTTCAAGGCCTCCCCTCTGCATCTTACTTTTGTACTGATTACCCCCTGAGAGCCATTCTCCTCTACACGTGGGTCACCATTGTGATTGTGTGTATACTCTTTACCAAGGGCAGTTGTGTGTCACCAGAGGGGGTCAAAGCTCTGGACTTAAAGGCCTGAAGCTCCATCTCTGAAATCAGGGATTTGGCATCAATATAGCATAGTCAGGAGCACCCAGACTTTGGAATCAAAGTGATCTGGGTTTGAATCCTGCCTCAACCCTTCACTAGGTAAATGGTCATAGACAAGGTCCTCATTTTCTCATCTCCAGTTCTCCACCAGCACAATGGGGAAAGTAATACTTACTCAGTATGGTTGTTGTGATGAGTAAATGAGATTATTTATCTAAAGCACCTTGCTTATGGTGTCTGTGTCATTGCTGATTTGGTGGTTGTCATTGTTCCAGCCTGGAACACTGAGCCTGTTGAGCTGCTACAAACACCACATTGGCCTTGAGCAATGGAGTAGTGACAGTGTTGTCCTAAAATTGGCATTTTCTCCCAAAAGATGAAGTTCTTTTTCTTCCAGGGCCAAACTTACTGGTTCCTTTTTCACTGACCACTCAATACATGAAACAGTGTTATAATCTCCTTAGTTGTGGAACCACTGTGTTTTGGAGCTTGTCCAAGGTTAACTTGCCCATGTGGTCACCAAATATGAGGACCCCACTACATCAGGAATCGAGTACCTTTCTTTTATGATATACTAAAGGAATTCTCAGAAAGGGACATTTAATCCATATAGACTACAAGTTTAGAGTTTTACAGTGTGAGATGCCTCTTTTTTTAAAGTGCATGTCAGGTTTCTTCAATGAGCTTTCTAAATTGGCCTGGTTGATGTGAAACATTCTTATGACCAAGTGTACTCAGTCACAGGAGTGATAACCCAGCCCTGTATTATTTCTCTGTGGGAGGAATGCTGGGGATCCTGGCTAACCACTCCCCTAGAAGAGAAATGCTCCTCTTGAATTTGTAGTAGTTTTTCCTTTCACTTGATTAAATAAGAAGAAAGTGTAATTAAGAGCTACTTCTTGAATCATTGTCAATTAAGGAACAAGATTCTCAAGAATTAAAAATTCATGACAGATTTCAGCCTGATAGGTAAAGAGAAGATTGCTTGATAATTATGGGCTTATTTGAAAGTTACTTTTCTCCCAGGCTTCAATATCTCATTTTGTTAGAATGCACACTGAATGCTTAAAATCTCTTTCTTTTGGAAAAGACAGAGTTATCTTGTTAAAGGAATAATATTCCCTGTGATAAGGCCCAGCACTGAATGGCTATTCCACTGTTGTTTTTAGCGCCATCGAGTCGATTCCAACTCCTAGTGACCTGTGTACAGTGGAGCCAGTCTTTTTGCCTCATCCTCGCATCTTCCAGAACTATATCAGACAATGTTCCACTGATGTTCATAAGGTTTTCATGGTCAATTTTTTGGAAGTGAGTGGCCAGGTCCTTCTTCCTAGGCTGTCTTAGTCTGGAAGCTCTGCTGAAACCTGTCCACCATGGGTGAAATTTGCTGGTGTTTGAAATACTGGTGGCATAGCTTTCAGCATCCCAGCAACATGCAGCCACCACAGTGTCACAGCAGACGGATGGGTGGTGTGGTTCCCTGACTGGGAAACGAACTGGAGTCATGCGGCAATGAGAGCACCGAATCTTAACCACTAGACCACCAAGGCTAGTGGTTACTCCATAAAGAGATTAAAAAAGGAAGTCAAGGGAAGGTAAGGGAGGGGACACGTGGCTACCAGACTCACCAATTCCACTGGCATTTTTTCACATAAAGTGTTATCATTGTCTTTTGTCTAGGTGAAAATAAGTCTTGGAATTAAGTGCTATCTAAACTCCACTTCTTATTTTGTTACTGCTTCCCTGAGTGGCCATGGAAAACACATTTAGCCTTTTGATTCCTTGGTTTCAACAACCACAAAATGACTTAATAACTTTTACTTTTATAATGGACTTTGTAATAGTCATCTATTGCTGTATGACAAATTGCCCCCAAACTTAGAGGCTTAAAACAACAAGCATTTATAGTCTCATAGTTACTTTGAGTACTTGCTGGGGAATCTAGACATTGCTTGTTCAGATAACTCTGCCTCAAAGTCTCTCAAAAGGCTGTAGTAAAGGTGTTGGCTGGGGCTGCCATTTTATCCAAAGGCTCAGCTGAGAGAGAATCCACTTCTAAGCTCACTTGTGTGGTTGTTGGCATGATTCAATTCCTCCCAGACTATTGGATTGAAGGCCTTAGTTCTTTGCTGGCTGTTGACTGCTGGGGCCACCGTCAGTTCCCTGCCATGTGGGCCTCTCCATAGGGCAGCTCACAACATGGCATCTGGCTTCTATCAGAGTGGATAAATGAAAGAGTAAGATCAGGCTTGCAAGACAGAAGCCACTATGTCTTTATAACTTAATTTCAGAAGTGACATCCTATCACTTTTACCATGTTCTATTTGTTAGAAGCAAATTTCTGGGTCCAGCCACACTCCAGGGGAAGGGATTACACAAGAGCATGAGTATAGGAGACAGGGATGGTTAGGGCCTCTTGGAGGCTGCCTCTCATGGACTTAGTCATACTCACTCTGAGGCATCAGTGGGAACCATGCGCCGAGGTCATGGGAAGTCTCTGAAATCCCACCCTTTCCCTTAAGTAGGATAGCATTTAGTCATTCATTCAAAATCACATTTTAAAAAAAATTTCCTTCCCTCGTTTGGAAACATTTATTATGTATCTGCTGTTTACAATGCAGTGTCGGGAGTGCTTTGAAAAGGCAAAGATAAAGGAGTTAACAATTCTGGTATCATGAAGCACCCTTTGATGGTGGAGTCGTCTGCTTTGCTGACAATGGGATCTGTGTGAAGGCAGAGGTAGAGAGGAGTCTACTCAACCTCCACACCCCCAGCCACTCTCCCGTCAGTTGAAACCTTGGAAAAGGCTTTAGAATGGGAAAGAGATGACCTGCCTACCTTTTACCACTTTTAGGGACGCTTTCTATGAAGTTCCCAACACTCTTCCTGGGTAAATTCTGCAAGGCGCCCATCGTGTTTATTAACTCTCTTTCTCCAGGACCACAGCAGGGGGCTATGGCTCCTATGCACTGGGGAAGGGAGACAATGATTTCTCCTGGCACAATCTGCCATTGCCTACTAACGATTCTTATATTAGTTCATTGTTGTTTAAGCCTAGACTTTTTACTGGACTTTTATTTGTGTCCTTCTGGTCTCCCCAACGAGATGGAAAGTTCTCTAAGAGCCAAAGTTACTTCTTACCCTTCCTTGAATCTAAACAAGTTTCGGTAACATAGAATATGTGCAATAAATGATGTATGCACAGATGCCTCCTTCAGAGGGGGTCTAATTTACACATAGGACCAATTTAGGAAGAATCAACCTGGGATCATCAGTCGAAGGGCTTCTGGAGGCACAACCTTATTTCTCTTTGCCCTCATTTGGTTCCTTTCTTTCACTTTGGCTTTCCTTGAGTTTTAGGTTAAATTTTCCTGCTCCTTAGCCTTTTTCTCCATGAAGACATGTATTCCTTTCTGTCGTGCTCTCCCCAAACTCAGCCTCTGCTCATGCAACAGCCCCAGTGTGTGGGGCAATGGGCATGATGGCCTCTCCCAAGAAGCACAGCAAAGAGGGAATATGTACCAGCCCAGGGCGCCCACAGCCCCGTCCAGAAGCACAGATGTAGGCTGACTCCTGTGCTCTTTCTTCCTGTACTTTTCAGATTTTTTTCTCTTTAGACACAGGGACACAGGTCTACTATGGTAGTCCTTGGTATTTTAATGCACAAATATCTTTATGCACTTTGGGAATGTGTTTCCTGTTTTGACTTGTTCTCTAAATATATATAATTTTTAAATTATAGGTTTACGTCAGAAGGACAATTTAGTCAAGTATAACTTTCTTCACAAAACATGTCCTGGTTGCAGCACATAAACTGTGGAATGCAAGCAGGCTTGGAGAATGCCCAGATCGACACATCCTCTCCCCCACGCCTCTGCCCTGACATTTTCAAAATGTATCTCTTGTCTTTTCTATTGCAACTAAGTCTATAAAAGGTGCTGCTCTCTAAGCAAAGGCAGTAGGGACCAAAATCTTAGCTGATGTCACCCAAATAGAAAAAAATTTGAAATCCTCTCACAGAGATAGTAAGTTCCTTTAGTGGGAGAATCTTTTAGGTCCAAGTGACTAAAGGGGCACAGACACTTCACCTGAAGTCCCTTAAACCATGTGCTGCTTGGGGTCCTGCGTTTCTACACAATGGCGGAGAGAAAAGGTGACATCTGGAGAGTTAGGCCGTGTTTCTCATCATTGCGTTGTAGTTAATGCAACCCAAAAACGTTTCTTTTTTGCGCACCACTCTGTGTCTGGAGTGTCCATTTGTGAAGTCAAAGGAGGAGTTTTTGACTTGGAATCTAAAGGCACAGGTCTTAACATTGAGAGTGCTCACCTTGAACTGGAAAAACGACCAAATAACTTATATGGATTTGTTATTAAATGTTAAATCAAAGCAGAAACATATATATAGGTTGACGTCTCCACAACACAGACGAAGGATAGACTTCCACTGTGTCATAGAGCGGTTTCCTGGAACCAGATTCTGAGATGGAGATTTGTGTACAAACGATTTATGTGGAGGAGTGCCCCAGGGAACAAGACCTAGAAGAGACGAGGAACGCAGATCTGATTGGGCAAAGGAAGAAGTTGGGCTCCAAGGCAGTAGCGACAGAGGGCTCAGCTGATCCCGCAGGGAGCACCTGAGCTGGGGTGGCCCTTCACAGTTGTCACAAACTGGGCACAAGTGTCAGGTCTTATAATCTCCTCCTCACCTTCCTCATCCCCTTGCCACTGGGCTGCACTAGTGACAAGGGAGAAGGGGAGATGTCTTCAAAACACAGCTCCTTTTACGGTGAGAGTAATCCCCTGATGAGAGGAAGGTGGTTGTGAGCCAATGGCAGCCCCCACTCCCAGCAGCTGAGGGAAAGATTACCTCAGTCCTGGAGCGGGGACCAGGGCGACATCCCACAGAACCCACCACACACTCTGTTTCAAAATGAGAAAACTGGAATCAGACAAAAATCTGGGACCTGAAACAGATAAAATGAATGTTTACGTAATTTTATATTTAATTATTATACATAATATTAAAGAATTAATATATACAAACTAAATTAAAATAACTAAAAAGTAACTCACAAGTAAATAGAAAGGAACCAGAAGAATTCCAGCCATGTAACTTTCTGTTGAACGTAGGCAGATTGAATGCCATCTACTGCAGTCGAAGGAGAGCTTTGACAGTGGGACATTGTAAACAATGGCTGGTAAGGAGAATGATTTCTGAATAATGCGTGTGTGTGTCCTCCCAAGCAATGCTCAACAGGAAGACCCTTTTTTTTCATGCTTAAATTTGGGGAAGTCAGTGAGAAGCAGGTGAGCCAGCAGTGTGCCCAGGATGTTTTACAGAGGGCCTTCATGAGTATCTCACTGATGGCCTGAGTAGGCACATTTAGACACTCGGAATTTCCAGTATCTGCAGTGATTTGTGCCAAACAATTAGAAACAGAAAAAAATCAGCAATAAGAGAATTGATGAGGTCCATGTCATTGGGCAGAATGCTCCTGGATATTTAAAGTTTTGACTTTCAGTAATTGCAGACAGTTAGACTAAGAACTCTGAAATTAGTAAACCAGGCCCAAGACATGTCTTAGGGTAAGAAGCAGAAGCCCATGAGTGCCATGGATCAAGGAGGATGAGGGAAGGGTATTTGGACCCAGCTAAGACAAGCACCATTGGAGGTAATCCCCGGGAAGGAAACCCATGGAAAGTAAGAATTGGTAGTTTCTATCAGAACTGATTTAGTTATCGCCATTTTTACCTAATGTATTTAGTACACTATACGATTTATTTCATAGAGTACTTGCAACTCTTCTCAATGAATCTTTTAGAGTTTTTTCCGAAGTGCCAAGTCAAAAGAAACTTTCTGGGCAGGAGGGTACTGAGAAGTAGGTAAATTCACCCAGCCTTTGTTGTCATGCTTCTGGTGCCCCAATGGGAAGATCAGAGAAGCAGCATCCTTCAGAAAATAATTCTACACAGAATGCCATTCCAATGTGGGTGTGCCACACACCTATTATGTAATAATTTCACACACACCCCTCCAAAAGGAAAAGAAAAAGAAAAGCAGGACTATATATAGGAAGCAATTATAATTTTTATTTAGCTGATCGAAGCCCCAGAAAGTTTCTCTGATCACATCCTGATACAGAATTTTATTTCATTTCCTCCAACGAAAATATGTTTGTACATTGGCCTACAAGCTGCAAAGTAATGAAGACAGCTTTAGAGTTTCAAATTGATTCCACAGTGACAAGTACTCTTGGAAGGAAAAAAACAGAACATTTTACTGAGGGATCAAAGATCAAACACTAGAAACTTGAAATGAGATTTTTCTTCATCACACTTTCTCAGAGGCCAGAGAACATGCAATAGCTGAACTCTCAGCCACTCTACTTGGATGCCAGGTCTCCTAATATTCTCCCTCATGGGTGTTGCCCCACCCTTTCGCTGAACTGAGAAGAACCACCAACTGGACTTGAAAGGACTAAGAGGGAGACCGAATTTCAAAAGCAGGGTCATATTGAGTGAGAGGGCCCTGGACCTGGACTCAGAAGCCCTGGCTCTGGGTTCCAGCTCTACTGCCTGCTGTCCCATGTCCTCTGGCGTCTGCTGGTGTCCTCTGTTTACCGGTTGAAAGGGATGCCAATGCTGGCTGGCCTTGGGGTACGTGTAGGGATGAAATAAAAATGAAACTTGAAGAGGGCTTTGCGAACTGCAGAGCGTAATGCAAAAATGTGAGGTGTCATTATCCATCTGTGTCTTTGTTTCTAAGGATGCTTGCTGAATGAGTCATGATGGATTGAGAAATCTCATGGAGGAATGAAGAGGTAAGAAGTTCCCTCAGCCCCTTAGGATTAGCTTCATCGCGCCCTCTATCTCCTCCCTGACTTGGCTCTTGCAGCCGTCATAATGTAGAGCAATTAAATGTTTGAGCCTGGGGCTGGTGTTCCAACACTTTGACCTGTTGCAATTTTCCTTAGGGATCATATTTCCAGCTTTCTGTTTTACACATGGCGTTCTGACTCTGAAGGGGACGACTGAAGGGCCTCCAGCCTCTGGCTTTCTCTCCCTCCCTGTTAGAACAGGCCTCCAGGTAGGCAACTGTGAGAGGGCACACGGGCACAGAAAGGGGACAGAAAGGGAGCAGGGAGACCCTGAAGACAAAATGCGCACTGTAATCTGTGTCCTCAAAGCTTTAAGGCAGGAGAACTAGTCGCATTATTCTGTGGGCAGGATAGAATTCCAGGAAGCAGGGCAGGCAAAGGAAGTCTGTACAAGTTTTCAGTTCTGATTCAGAACCAAAGGTGAGAAGCCTCCCTTTGATAGATCTGTACCCCTTAACTCCTATCATTTCACATTCATAAAAGTTAGCCACTCACAAACTTCCCTTTCCAGAATCTCTTAAATGCAAAAGCAATTATTATTAGCTCTGCACACTCATATTTCAGGCTGGCAAGGCAGCCTCAGAGGTATAAGAGCTAGAAAAATGTATTTCTGTGTTAATCAAAAGAGAAGAAAGTCTGTTCCTTGGGAGCCTCCCTTCCTCCAGGGTGCCCTGCACTGCCTGCGGTAACTCCATCATGGCAGATTTGTTGGTGACTGGGGGAACCACAGAATGAGTCCAAGACTGGAGGTTGAGTCCTGGACTCTGATCCCAGCTCTATGACATTGGGCCACTTCTCTTTGGCTTGGGTTTCTTCACAGCAGAAAGTGTTAGGTTAGATTCCAACAGTGGTTCTCAACCTTGGGTGCCCATGAGGATCACCTAGGATTCCCAATGCCTGGCACTTCCCTTACCAACTAAGTCAGAAGATCTGGGGGTGGAGCTCAGGCAGGAGGAGTTTTTAAAGCTCTCCAAGTGATTTCAGTGTTAAACCTGTTTGAGAACTGCTAGTTCAGAAGATCAGTGGTTCTCCACTCTGGCTGTACATGACAATCGCCTAAGGAGCTTTAACAAATACAAAGCCCAGAGTCCAAAGCCAGAACAATTACAATGGAAATCTCTGGGGTTGACCTCAGACACGGTATGCTTTCATATTTCCCCAGGTGATTCTAATGCATAGCTAGGTTCATGGACCTCCACCTTAGATGATCTTCAAGGATGCTCCTCAATCCAAGGTTCTAAGCTTCTATGAGTCTGCACCGGTGGGGCTTTAAGCGTATGTACCACCTTCTCAGGAAAGCAGCTGCTCCACTGTTTCTATCAGCTGGCAAGTTAAGCAACTCTGGCTCTGAGGAATGGGATGATTATTTCCCCCCACATCTATCTTCTCCGGACCTTGACTCTTGACAATTAAGAGGGACCCCTCTCCCTATTTACAATCTATAAAAAGGTCATCCCAGATGTGATCTGAGTCCCATCATAAGTACAAGCCAGGGTTCTCAAGCTTTTTGGTTACACCGAAGCCTTGGAGAACTTCATGAAAGCTATAGACTCTCTCGCAAGAAGAATTCACTTCTTCATTTGCACATCAAATTGAGTATACAATTTTAATGGGTCCCTGAACCCCGGATGCAAAGAAAATTCAATTCCAGTTCAACATGATATAAAAGTAAAAAAATCACATAACTCAGGAAGCTGAAATTGCAACATAGATGGAAAGAGGAGGGACCGAGAGCTAAGAGCCCTGAGTTCTAATCCTGGTTCCTCTTCTAATTAATTGACATTTTGGAGTCACTGAGTCACTTTATGCCTCAGTTTACTCATGTGCAATTAAGAATCATAACACCTACTCTACCATGTTTCTGCCTCACCTTCCACCCTCATAAAGAATTGGCACATTCCCCACCTACAGACACTCTGTCCAAACTGTCTTTGAGACCATAGCACCAAAGTGTGTTTACATATTTGTTAACTTGTTCTGAGTGCTTGTATTGACCAAGAGGTCATGGGGATAATAGCGTGTATGGGTCTTGGAGCCTGGAAGAGACTGGGCTAAGGGATTGCATGCATGTCCTTCTGTTTGGAGTGCAACTTGGCATCTGAGCTTGGAAGGGGCAAGCGGAGATCCATGAACCCACCACGCACCAGCCACAGTCCTCGGTGGCAAAAGGGTGGAACTGGAGCCAAATGTCTGAGAAGTGGTCTCCCAGACTTCACAGTAACTGCCAAATTGGCCGCGGGCTTGGCAGAAGCTATCCAACTGGTGAGCACCAAGTGGTTTGGAGAGAGCAGGAGCCCTGCTTGGTCTCTGAGCATAGGCACCCGGGAGAATCTATGTTCCCAACCTCACAGGAGCTAAGCCATTAGAGCTCTAACCTGACAAGCAGGCCTGTCAGTCCAGGCCAGGAGGGTAGTTTTGATCGCCCCGAGGGGCCCAGGTTTGCTGCCTCACCAGGAGAGCACAGGATTGTCCTACCATTAGCCTTGGGCAGTGCTTGGCCTTGATAGGAGAGAAAGTAGGGAGACTGTTCCTGGCCAATCCCCGCGCTCCCCAATCTCCCCACATCCCCAGCCCACCTTCTCTGACTTCTAGACCATCCTTACAGAAGCATGAGGGGGACGAAAAGAGGAGGATAGCAGTGTCTGTCTTGGGTACTAGGCTTCTGCTTAGGATGCTCACTTTGAGAGGACAGAGAAGCCCCCGATGCCCCAGGAGAGCTTTTCCTCTTGATCAATATTGAGGAAACAATAACAGGAGCCTGTAACCAGACGTGGTGATGTGTGTGTGTATGGGGAGACTATTCTTATGATTCTCAGAGAGCCTGAGGAATCGAGCTCTGGTGGGGCAGAGGAAAAGTGGGGAGAGCAAACGAGCCCAGAGTTTTGACAGAGCTCTGGCCGTAACATGAAATGCACACGCATGCATGCACACATGCATACACACACACATCCTCTCGCTCTCTTGTTGTATCTCAGGAGCCCAGAGGGACTGACAACGGGCTCAGTTCTACAGCTTTGCTTTTCTATCAGGTACACACCACAGATGTATATGCCTACTGATAACTGGGGTCATCTGGCATCTGCCAGATCACTCAACTGGAGGTCCCCAGCCCCCACCCCTTGGGAATCAGAGAAATCCCTATGGGATAGGGAGGGAGTTGTCCAGGGAAGAAAAATGTCAGTCTCCAAGTTCTACACTCCAAGGTGGTCTCTGTTCCTTCTATCCTGGGGGTACTCGGCGGAGCTGTCGCTGATGGCCGTGAGTTTGTCCCAATCACAGGTGAAGTGGCTGGTGGGATGACAGCCTTGGGAGCTACAGCTTCTCATCCTCGGCTACTCTGGGCTTCAAGGAATGACACACCTGCATGTTCACATCCCTCAGGGACATAATTTCTTATCATTTCATCCTCTTGGAAAGCAGTAACTCCTGGCAATGTACTGTACAAGAGCAGAGCAACGTGGCTTTCTTTTTTGTTTCCTCGCAATTCCTCAGTTGCTGTTGGTGGACTGTTTTGCAACTACTGTTTCCAGCTGGGACAGAGGAATATACACAAGCAGTATATTTTTTTAAATATTTACTTCATTGAAAATAAAGATAGGTATCTCATAGTTTCTTCCCATAAACCAAGTGATTTGTGTTTCCAAGCTGGGCCATTTCTTCCTGTCTTTATAGATCTGACAAATGGATGCTTTTCTACCACAGATTCTTTTTTTTTTTTTTTGAGGAAGATTAGCCCTGAGCTAACATCTGCCACCAATCCTCCTCTTTTTGCTGAGGAAGACTGGCCCTGAGCTAACATCCGTGCCCATCTTCCTCTACTTTATATGTGGGACACCACCACAGCATGGCTTGACAAGCAGTGGGTAGGTCCACACCTGGGAGCTGAACTGGTGAACCCCTGGCTGCCGAAGCAGAAAGTGTGAACTTAACCGCTGTGCCACCAGGCCGGCTCCTCTTATTTTTTTAAACCATTTTTTGGAGAGACGCCTTCATTTTCTGCACAAAATTTCCTTCCAGTGCATTTGAATCACAGGGAGAAGACACAAACAACTGTCAATGAGCATAACTGGACATGGCTATCACCATTGGAAGGTCACTTTGAGGTCCCTTCTCTTGATGATTTGGCAAAGTCCAAATTGGACCACTGGCCAGAGGAGACCAAGGGGAATCACTTTTAGACCCCAAAACTCACAAGCTTTCTTGTTTACTCCAACTCAACCCCACAACTCTGTTTTGATGAGGTAGAATACATTTTCACCATCGATGGGGACACTCACCACAATGTTCTTTACAAACCCAGGAAGAAATGGAACGAAGTCCCCACACCCCTCACCACTGAGAAAGCTGTTGTGCGAGGTCACAGGTCTGGACTCCTGCTGGAGTGAAGTGGGGCATGGGCCTCTCTGGGGTCCCTCTCACTGTGATGCGAAGATTGTGTTTCATTCTGTGTCAGCCAGGGTCCAGTCAAGGAGCCAGAAACCATATCAGCTAGTCAAAGAGAGAATTTACTATCAAGAATTGTTAACTATATGTTTTGAAGAACTGAAAAGTTGAACGTAGAACATTTGGATATTAAGGAGAGAGAAACTGGAGGAAGTAACTGCTGCCCTGGGGCTGCGGGCACAAAGGAAGTGGTTGACATTATTAAGACTTAGAGCTTGAAGGAGGGCTCCACGGACCTGCGACTCTGATCTCTGAGAACAGGATACCATCCAGCTGGCTAAGCTGTTTCTCAGGGGATGCACAGAGGCTATTGGTGTTGGGAATACTGCAAATTGGACTCTCCTATGGCTACTGGAAGGGACTGCTGCAGCCAGGGTGAAGCAGTGTGGCTCGGGCAACAGTGACAGGAACAGGAAGCAGAGGAATGAATATGTTCCTTCTTCCTCGTCAAGCTTTTCTCCAGCCCCCCCTGTTGACAGCACTTAGGCAGGCTGCAACTGGCAAAAAGGAAATGTCATTTGCAGCTCCCAGCCCCAGCATCAAAAGCCAAGAATTGACCCTGGGAGACAGTGGTTTAATAACTAGGGCATATGGCTGAGTCTCCATTGCTTTATCGCCATTTGACCAACTCATTTTCCATGATCCATCATTATAAGCTATGGAACTGGACTTTTTTGTTTCCTTGAAAAGGCTAAGCTTAGGCAGAAAGTGGATTTGGAGGAGCCTCATATTTAGGGGATGCCTCTGCCCAGGGCTTCTCAACCTCAGCACTACTGACATCTTGGGCTGGATAATTCCTTGTTGCGAGGGACTGTCCTGTGCATTGTAGGATGCTGAGAAGCATCCCTGGCCTCTACCCACTGGAAGCTTATAACACCTCCATTTCCCCCCACCCCAAGTCAACCCAAAATGATGACCAAAAGAAGTCTCCAGACATTGCCAATGTCCCCTGGGGAGGGAAATCTCCTCCAGTTGAGAATCCGTACTCTAACCTCTCTCAACACTGTTATCCCGGATTTTCTGGCCTGACAATTAAATAGTAAGGATGCCCATGAATTCACATACTCCTTGATAATTGTCAAGGCCCTTTCTCTGCTTTATTTAAACAGCCCCAGGAGGCAAGGAGGGACAGATACTAGTGTGTCTGTAGACAAGCAAACTATGACTCAGAAAGCTTGACCGACTTTCCTCGGAGTACCTGTCGAGGCAGAGCTATGCTGCTCTGCCAGCCTCATCCTCGCACTTTTAGAGGGGAGGGGGGTTTGGACGGCTGACTTGCTGAGAAGGGAATGTCCTCCCCCCTTGAGCTAGCAATAACGTTCTTTTTATTTTTCTTTTTAAGTGTCCAGCTGTTGCCAGGAATACCATATAAAACAGCTTTATGAAGTGAACACAGGCCCCCACAGCTTATACAAGCTGGCTCTGTCAAGGGCACCAGTGTTTTTAATTAATGCTTGTGTCCAGTGTTCCAGTCAAGCCTTACCTGCACCCCGTCTCTTAGGTTTTGACTTCTGGCTAACCTGCACAGGGGCCCTTGTGCCCGTGGCTAATAAATGCTCCTGATGTTTCTCACTGGGTCTGGGAGGGCAGAAATAAAAGTCACTTCCAACTAACTGTGTTCCAGCCTGAACACGGACCATGCGTAGCAGGCACCGGGGAGAAAGCTGCCTTGCCCTGTGCAGTCCAGCCGAGCGGCACTTGCAGACAAGCCCCTCTCCTTGGCTGGGTCCCTTCAGTTTAGATGTGCTCGGCATCAGTCATGGTCACCCTGTGGCCTTTTGGGATCAGCCAAAGGAGTCTCCTCACCATCCTGTAGAAAAATAATTCACACTCCTCCCCACACTAGAGATTTCTGGTACTCTTAAAGGCCAAGGGTGAGAGTGCCATCATTGGACGGGACAAAATAGGAACAGGTAAGAAAATAATTTCTGCACACTTGTGTGTGTGCGTACGTGTGTACGCCTATTTACCCAAGACTTCTCATGTGGAGCTGATAGAAACCAACGTCATGGAGTGCAAACCCTCTGCAAACCCCGTGGTCTGATTGGCTAACTTCTTGACTGATTGATTACTTAGAATAACAGGGCCGTAGAACTCAAAGGAAACTCAAAGATCGTTTTGCCCAACCTTCTCTTTTTACTAATGAAATTGAGATCCAGAGACATTAGGTAGCAAATCAAGTAAATCAAGTCCACAGTCCTCAGCCAATCAGTTGAAATGCTCAGAACTAGGACTCCCCAGGCAAACAGGACTCTTCCCTCATCCCCACACCACGCCTTCCCAGCCACTCTCCATAAGAGCCGTGGCCAGGGTTGACAGCACCAGAATGTGTACCCTGATCCCTTCTTTCCAGAATGAAGGGACTGTTTGGTTAATGCCTGCATGTGTCCACTCCCGTCCCTTATCTCCTCCTTATTTTATCAAGACTGACCATCACTGGCTTCCCACCTCAGAAGATCAGATCCTGGCCACCGGGAGGGGCTGACCCTTGTGTGAGAAAGCATGAATTGCAAGCCAGACTTTATGTTCTTAGTAGAGAAAAAAGCCATGAGAAATATCTAGATATGTTATACAAGTACTTGGAAATATTCAGATAATTTATCATATTTCCACCTATTTATTGATGTTGATCATTTTTAAAATAAAGTCTAAATCTAGATCTATGAAGCTCAGAATTGGTAAGTAAATAGGAAGCTCTGTTTTGGCAAGGACTCTGTCATAATTTTCATGAATTTCTCATGGCACTTAGCATCATGCTGGAATGGCAGTTGAACTGGCATTCTACTGACACGCGTTAATTAAATTAGAATGATGTAAAAATAAAGATACTCCCTTTTTAAATGACAGGTTGACATCTAGGGTCAGGTTTTTCCAAAATAATCAGGGGATTTTCCCTCTCTCTTTGTGGCTATCACAGTGCACCAGGAAGGTGGCTCTCGTGATGCAGGGGGCATAGTCCAGGTTGACGAGGGACAGTTGTGACCTCAGACTTTATACACTGTAGAGGATGTTGGTTTACATGAAGTTTCTCAGTGACTCTGAGAGACAACGACGAGCGTTTGATTGGGAGTTCACTTCCTAACTGTGTGACCCAAGGAAACTGCCCAGAGTCTTCCAAAGTGGGGATGGTCTCACGCCAAGGTTGTTGTGAGGATGAAATCAAGCTCAATGTAGAGCACCATGCAAACTGTAGAGTGCTGTCCAAGAGGTGGTTGTTATCAAAGCCATGTGGACACATGTATCCAGGCACGATGCAGTCACATGGTGACAGCTGCGAGTACTTGAATTTAGGAGGTGCCCGTGCAAAACAAACTTCCTAACTCAAATATAAATTTTAGTTAATGAAATCATAAAGAGTAAGTACTAAGTACTAACTAGCTACTGGTGTGTCTGGAATTGTAAAATAAATATTCTTAAAAGTTCGCTTATGAGGACACCAACTTACAACAACAAGAAAAGCGATTAGTTTATAAACGGAAATAAAAGTGTGAAATATAGAAGAAAATTGTGCAAATCCCTAATTCTTGAGAGTTAACCACCTTTACTTTGGCATATTTGTTTCCAGACATTTTTATGATGTTAAAAATATTAAAAAGTAATGGCATAGACGATACAGTTATGCACCACATGGTGACATTTTGGTCAACAACGGACCGTGTATATGACAGTGGTCCCATGAGATTAGTACCATACAGCCTAGGTGTGTAGTCGGCTATAGCATCTAGGTTTGCATAAGTCACTCTATGGTTTTCACATGATGATGAAATCACCTAACAACGCATTTCTCAGAAAGTATCCCATTAAGCGACACATGTACATAGGTAAGACAAAGATCATGTATGTGGGACACAGGTGACTAAAGTGAGGGAAATATTGGGCAGGGTACAACTCTTTGCGCTTTGGATGAGAAGTGGGTCAGGATTTCCCAGCTCAAAGGTCAGCCAGAAGAGTGACAGGACACCTTTGGTTAATCTTTTAACAGCTGCCAGCAGTTCCTTCTCTAGCCCCCGATTATCCATGTGGGGCCCCTCCGTAGAGTCCCTTCGCTACAACATGGCTTGCCTGCCTCCTTACTGTGAGGACTCTATTTGAGTACCATGAGTACTATGAGAGTACTGCGACTAATCTGTTTTGATACTTTCCCTATTGATTCTTCCTGTGTCACTTTTTGGCCAACACGCCAGTCTCCATTTACTCTTTGCAGGTTGAGAAGGCCCTTTGTCAACAGGAACCTTTACCAAGTCCCTGATTCCAGGAGGCTGGAAGAAATGAAGATTTTTCTTAGGCTGGGGCTGAGAAGTAGCTGAACTGGCCCCCTCAGCCCAGCAGAGAGGGGAGAAGCGGGGTCCCAATGGAGGTGCAGGGCAGTGTCTGGGCTCCCGTCAGCTCTGCTGGGGTGGCCTCCTCACTTCATTTGAAAGAGAACCTCAGAACCAGAAACACATTCCAAAGCCTCAGGTCACTGCCTATTTCCCCACCTACTGGCTGCCTGGAATCATCAATGACTCTGCTTTGCTCTAATTAGTACGGATAAGGAACTTCTAAAGTGTGACCTATTTTTCAGTGTTCCAAATGCACCAGTGTTGAGATTCCATCCTGCTTGCTTGGAAAGAAAGCAAAATAAACAAACCTAGAAAAATAACCCAGACAGTACATTATGGCTAAAACGAAGATAAAGAATAGGGCATTAAGTTAGAAATAATTTCTACCACTTTGAAGTCTAAGAATACAGTTTTGAAAAGACAAAACACAGAACAAACATATGCCTGTATATACACTGTAATATACAATATTTAATTTGCACCAATATATTGTGGGGAAAAAATTCAACAAATGGACATTTCTCCTAAAGTCTGGCAAAAAGCCACCCCTCTGCCCTGATTTGGAAAAGAAGACGGTAAACAACGTGGCGGTGTCTGGTTTTACATTGCAGATTATTTGCAGATATCTAACTTTGATTATAGTTTAGCTCTTTAGATTTTTATCACAGAAACATATTTCAAAGAGCCCTAGCACACAGATGATGGTAGAGAAGCTTGTAAAAACAAACTCTTGGGCTTCTTTAAACCTAAGAAAATCAAAATAAAAACACTAGACAAGCTGAGGAAACCCCCATCGATTCATTTCCCTGGGTTTGGTCTGCGCTGCTGGGCTCTCTGTGTCCCGCAAGCTGAATGTTCGCTCGCTAGGGAGAACTGCGGATTGTAGAAGCAGCGTGAGCACGAGGAAGAGTCAAGTCAGCACCCAGCTCCCAAACGCTCTGGAAAGGGCTGTTCAACCTTGCTCAGTGGCCACAGAGAAACCAACAGAGACAAAGGCCCATTTTCCTCTAACACAATGAGGCGTGGGTCACTCAGAGCTGGGCACAGAGCCTGGGGCAAGCCACACCCCCCACACTTGTGTACTACAGAGGGGACATGGACATTAAAGGCGGCCTCGAGGAAGACGCGCAGTCACAGAAATGCAATGCTGCCTAAGAGGGGGTGGTAGGGGAGCCACCACAGCAAACCCCTCAGCTTACCAGAACAGCGGGCAGAGCGAGAATGATCTGCGGCATTCCTGTGGGAGGGCCCCTCAGGGGCTGGCTTCCCAGCACCAATGGGTTCACACTGTTTCCTGGGTCTTCCCTTGGGTGAACTCTGACTTCACCCGTTAACACACATGGCCCGAGGACCTATCCTGCTGCCTTCAGCGTGCTAAGCATTTATGAAAAAGAGAAAGGGTAAGAGCGAATTGGGGAGCAGGAGACAACATCAGCTCTTGCTACACTTTGGAACTATCTGAGGCCATTCCAGATGCCCTGTCCCTGATCTTTCTCCCTCTTTGCCCTGCCCTCCCTCCCAAGCCAGTGCTTCGACAGTCTCCCCACCTGTCCTAACAGTGGTCTCTCTGCTTTTCCCTTCCTTGGAGATCTGCGAGCTTTCCAAAGACACCCCCGGGAGTGTAAGGCAGTTGGAGGGCAGGTGCTGGCTCCTGCGAGAAGACGCTTTCTGCTGAGGCTCCCACCCAGTGTCTGTGAAATGACAAGTACAGGGGAGGCCATCCTTGCTGGGAGGAGCCTTGTGATAAGCGTGAAGCTCAGGGGCCGCCCTTAAAGTCCTCCCGGTTTAACGTGGCCTAGGGCACCGTGCAGAAATCTCTGCAGAGATCGGCCATCTGAACCCACACGTGGCTGTTCTCATGGTTGCTAGCCATGTGAATCCATCAAGTCACTTCAGCTGTCTGAGCCTTAGTGTCCTCACTTGTGAAAGGGAGCTACTGGTCCTGCCCTGTATATGTGTGTGGGGTCATGTATACGACAGTGCAGAAGGACAAGATGTTACGGAAACACTAGATGATATTAGTCACAGGGCTCTCAAAGGCCGGTCCTATCCCAGAGGGTGGAGAGTTTGGCTCGCCTGCTGCTGAAAGAGAGTGAGGCTTCACCACGTGGCCCATCCAAAAGGGCTGGGCAGCAGGGCGAGGGCAGGGCAGGGGCCCAGCAAGCCTGCCACACCCACTTCCTCTCAGCATTTTGAGGGAAAGTGCCTCCATTTTCGGTGCAATCAGCCTGGACTGAAACCCAACTCACTTTGTGCCAAGTTCTGGGGGCTTGAGTTTCCTTTTCTGAGGGCAGTCCTCCCATGAGTCAGTGGGAACTGGATCAGCAGGAGCTTAGTGGTTTGACTTGAGGAGAACCTACAGGAAATAATTTAAGAAGATAATAAGGGGGATTTTTCCTGTCTAGAAATGAGGCCCATGGGTCTTTCCAGATGACATTATTCTCTTATACGCAGCAATAAGCGCAGAAAAAGACTCGGCTGAAACCTCCCAGTACAACTGGCCGCACACAGATCCTCTTGGGGCGTCTGGAGGGAGCATACTGTCCTTGGTTTTGCCCAGGGCCTGGAGGCCCCGCAGAGCAGTGTGATCGTCTCCAGGACTCTTTCCCAGCACCCAGGAATCGAGCGCACTCTGGGCCCTGCCTGAGCCGGCACCGCCCTCATCTCCCATATTCTTCTTTCCCATTAGATTTTCCCAATTGTTCAGAACTCAACTATCTTTGGAACTAAAACTATGAATTAGTTCCCACTGAAGTAGACAGCAATTACTTTGTGTGGCATCCTTCTCTCCAGAAATAAATTTTCATTTTACCAAATGTTTTGACCCACAAAGGTGATTAGGTTCGAAATTCGGCACTCAGAGCTGACTGCCCAGGAACTTTCAGTATTCGTTCAATATCTAGAAAGGAGAATAACAAGCATGATGGAGCAGAGAGTAAAATGTAGTCCAATGTTTTCATTTAACAGGCCCCAAGACCAGTGAATACTGGATGAATGAATGAATACATGAATGAATGGGAAGATGGAGCCGCGGAGGAGGCGCTGGCCCCCAGAGATGGTCTCAGGTTCTAGGCCACACCCCTGACTTCCAGGTGAAGGAGCTGGGGCTTGCAGACTGCAGCCTGCCCACGCAGAACCATGGTCCGCGGCAAAGGCCAGATGTAGGCCGGTGTCTCGGATCCCCAGTGCCTCTGTGGATGGGCGCCCCCCGCTCCCAGCACGTCAGGCCGCTGCGGCCGCAGGGAGAGGGCCCTGCCGGGGTCAGAAGCACGCTTCCTTCCTCCTCTCTGCTGCCGGCACCCTCTGTACAATATTGCCAAGACTTACTTTGAGGCCGGGAGCGCAGCTTTCATCACTCCCACGACTAATATAAGGGAGGCATAATAATATTAGCCTGGGAGAGAAGCCCCTTGGTTTGGTTCTCACGATTCCCATTTCCTCTTCCCTGGCTGTTGTCCTATCTCTGATCAGTGTCCAGTAAACAGAAGAGAGCCTGCTTTATGCCGTCACGGATTAAGTGACAGCGGTTCAGGGCTGCATCTCTCACTCTTTCTTTGAAATGAATCCTCCCTCCCATCCCTGCTTTTTGTCCCACGGGAGGAATGTGGGGGAGGGATTTCTTTTTCACGTCCAAACGCAGAGAGGGGCAGCGCTTTGGCTGCTGGGGGAGGGTGTGCTGGGCGGCCTAGGAGGATTAAAGCAACACTTAACTTTAGAGCGTTTTCATCTTTATCGCTGTGTCTTTTTAGCCATGGAATGATCATCCCAGAGGGAAAGCCGAGGCCTCCAGAGTGGTCCCGGCGAGTCTAATGGGAAAGAAGAATATGGGAGATGAGGGCTGTGCCGGCTCAGGCAGGGCCCAGAGTGCGGTGGATTCCTGGGTGCTGGGAAAGAGAGTCCTGGAGGATGAGGGATGTGGGCAGACCTCTCTCCAGCGAAGCGGTGGGTGTTGCTGTTGATGCATTTTGTATCCTGGTGCCATTTCCTCAAGTCATAACTTGCCTTTGTTATCCCTGATTTCTGAAATACATAATGAATGTGGTTGCAAAAACCAGAACCTTAATTTCCCAAGTATGGGAATAGGAGATTGAGAGCCCACCTGGCTGCTTTTTAGTGCCTGTGGAAAGACAAGCTACGGGAGGGAGCCCTGGACTGTACCGCTTGGCAGGGCTCTGAGCTGCTGCTCACTGAAGCACGTGAAAGCAATTCCTATTTCTGTTTGCAGTTAGAGCTTCAAACCAGACTTGGTAAATTGTACGTTGAGCCCATTCACACAGAGAAATAACTTCCAATGATTGCACTACTTAACCTCAAATGAAAATTCAGTTTGCTCATGGTTTTCCCAGTTATCAACATATGGCACAGACAGTGCTTCCCACAAGGAGAGAGGCAATACTTAAAGATGGAATGTGGGCCAGGACAAAGCAGGGGAGGAGCAGTGAGCTCTGCCCAATGCGTCTCAAAGCCGCTGCCCTTTACACAATGACAGAGCGGGCATGCCTCGAAGAAACTGGTCTTCACTGATAGAAAAGTGTTTTGAATGGGGAAGGTCATGGGTTCTGTATCTCTTGATGGTCAAATCACAGCTGATGGACAGAATTTTTTCTATTAGGCAAGTTCTCATAATGGGAATTGGATATAGGAAGTCAGTTCATTACGGAGCATTTCACTTCATGTGACTTACAAATATGCTTTTGGCTAATAGTGTGGTCCTGACCGGGAAGCAGCCCCTGAAGCAAGTGGCCCAGGGCACGTTGCTTTCCACAGGGGATTGTCAAGCTCATGCAATTTACTTTTCTGGCCTCAACATTTGTTGATTTTTATCTGAGCTTACATGCAATTCAGGATTTGCTCAACGTTTAGTGTTCTTTTTTCACTCCGGTTTTGATAACTCTGTTTATTATGTTCAGGTGCAAAAACAAAATAAGCTTACAAAGATATCTTTGTTGTTGAAATTCCTGCTGAAAACAAATAACTTTAGCTGGCAGCCTGAAACTAGTTCCTAACCACTCCCTCCCACCACCACCACCACCACCACTGCCACCTCTTTCTCATTGAGGTGATCCATATAGAATGTGATGAAAAATAGCAATGTGAAGGCTTTTAGCAACACAGCTGCTCCATTAAAGCAGCAGTCAGCTTGGGGTATAGTTTAGAGAGATTTTGATAAGCTAAAGTGAGTTTAAAGACCAGGAGGGTGAAGGGTGTAGACATCAATTCAGGGGAACAGGCGGAGAGAGGATGCTGGGTCACAGAGAAGTCAAAAGTCTATCATATGGATACATCCTTTGGACCTAACCTGTGTTTCTGCAGGATGCAGGAGCAAGACCACATGGTCAGTGTTATAGGGGCTCAGATTTCTAATGATTAGAACTGTTCAAAAAATGAATAGGCTGCCCTGTAAGGAAGTGATCTTCTCATCAATGAGAGAAGTCAAGAAAAACTAGATAACCTCCTGTCAGGAAGGTAAGAAAAGGCAGTTCCCTTGAATGGCAAGATGTGGCATTCTCCCGTAGGCTCTCAAGAGTGTTGGGGAGTACATGGCCAACGGGAGCAAGTCAGAGGCAGATACACAAGGAGGGAGCTGATGAACACATGGGCCCAAGAGAGGAGACCTGAAACTGTCTCAGATGGAGAGCCTGTCACAGTCGCTCTCCTCCCATAGATTTCTACAAGTCAGCTCCTCCAGGTTGATTTCTACACCCTTCTCATTATGTCTTTGAATTCACTTTAGCTTGTCAAATCTCTTCCCTGGCAGAACCTGAAACGTCTTCTCCAACTGGCTCTCACTGAATGCTCCGTGTTCTGATCCCACGAGGAACAGACTGCCCCCAGGCCCCTAGGGAAGCCATGCGTTAAGGGAAACTTCCTGGAGAACCTGGTCCTATCGCATGCTTGGGGCCCTGGGTCACTCTGGTGCAAAGCTCCAGTGCCGCGATCAGCGGAAACCTCCCTGGCCTGCCCGGTGGTGTGAAAGGAAGCCCTGGTGTGTCTGCGAGTGAGACTCCAAGGAGCCGCTTTGAGACACTCCAACCACATAAAGGCAGACGCTTGGCCCCTTGGGACTCCTAATCCACGTTTCCTACTAATTTACCCTTCGTTCATCAAAATATTATTTTGTAAGAGCTTTTTGATGTCTAAGAAGCCTGATGAGTCTCTTAAGCCTTCCCCACTTTGTACCATGAAGTTGCGAGCTCCCCGCCCTTAATGGTAACAGGAGCCAGAAAGGCTCCGTCTGTGCCGGCAGCCCTGGAGCTATGGGGCAGCCTTGCAAATAGTCCCCTGCCCGGTACTGCAGCCCAGTTGTGAGTTTGCCAGTCGACAGGAAGGCGAGCCACTGTTTTGTACCTTCCTCTTTTGGTCCTGTCTCTGGGGATGGTCCGACTCCATTGGAAATCAGTAAATCACACCATTCATTCACTCACTCAGTCAGCAACTATTTAATTGCACCTACTATGCACCGGGCATTGTCCTGGTGCATTGTCCTAACACATTGGATGTGTTAGGCATCCAAGTATGAAGGATGCTTAGTTCTGGCCCTTGAAGAACTCACATCCTAGTGGAGAAGATAATTGCCTAAATAGACCATTCCAAAAAGGTGGTATGTAAGGCACCAACAGAGAGAGGTTATTAAAGAATTAAGGAGGGGGACCAGCCTGGTGGTGCACGGTTAAGTTCACGTGCTCCGCTTCAGTGGCTCAGAGTTTGCGTGTTCGGATCCCGTGTACGGACCTACACACACCACCCATCAAGCCATGCTGTGGTAGCATCCCACATACAAAATAGAGGAAGTTTGGCACAGATGTTAACTCAGTGACAATCTTCCTCAAGCAAAAAGAAGAAGATTGACAAAAGATGTTAGCTCAGGATCAATCTTCTTGACTAAAAAAAACCACCTTTATTGGAGAAATCTTAGTTCACTAAGTAAAAACATAAAGAAGAAAATAAAGTTGCCCATAACATTACCCAAATAACCAGTTAAACGTTTTGGATATTGGTTTCTCTGATTAAGTCAAACACTGTGTTGAAGTGTATGGAGATGTTTTAAGCTTCATGATAAATAACCTACGGAGGGTCAAAAACTGCCCTAAATTAACCATGAGTTTCTTCATCCAAGCACCGTCATGTACCGCATAATGACGTTTCGGTCAGCAACAGATGGCATACGTGATGTTGGTCCCATAAGATCATAATGGAGCTGGAAAATCCCTATTGCCTAGTGACTTCACACCGTCGTAACATCTTAGTGCAATGCATTACTCACATGTTTGTTGTGATGCTGGTGACAGCTCCATGCATGTTATTGCCCCCGAAGACCTTCCAGTGGGACAAGGTGTGGAGGTGGAAGACGATGATAGTGCTGATCCTGGCCCTGTGTAGGCCTGGGCTACTGGGTATGTTTGTGTCTTAGTTTTTAATAAAAAAGTTTAAAAAGCAAAAAAGTAAATTACAAAAATTAAAAATAGGGAAAAGCTTACAGAATAAGGACATAAAGAAAAAATATTATTTTTGTACAACTGTGCAATGTGTTTGTGTTTTAAGTGTTATTATAAAAGTCAAAAGCTTTAAAAAATTAAGAAGGCTATAAGTGAAAAAGTTACAGTAAGCTAAGGTTAATTTATTATGGAAGAAAGAAAAATATTTTATTTTTTTATAAATTTAGTCTCTCCTGAGTGTCCAGTGTTGATAAAGGCTACAGTAGTGTCCAATTGCCCTCGGCCTTCACAGCGCTCACCACTCACTCGCTGGCTCATCCAGAGCAACTTCCAGTCCTGCAGCCTCCATTCATGGTAGGTACCCTATACGGGTGTACCATTTTTTATCTCTTATGTTGTATTTTTACTGTGCCTTTTCCATGTTTAGATATAATTAGAAACACAAACTCTTACCATTGTGTTACTATCGCCTGCAGTACTCAGAACAGTAACATGCTGGACAGGGTTGTAGCCTAGAAGCAGTAGGGTACACCATACAGCCTAGGTGCGTTGTAAGTACACTCTATGATGTTTCCACGATGATGAAATTGTCTAATTATGCATTTCTCAGAACACATCCCTGCCATGAGGTGACCCATGACTCTAATGACCACCTCATTGGCTTGGACCAGCCCCAGGAGGGCCAGTGCCTTTAGGCAAGGTGGCCTGGTTTAGAAGTTTAGCTCCCTGCATCGAATCTGTTCTTTGCCTACAGGACCCTGCAACCATTCTCCTGCAGCTCCTGATGTCAGGCTTTGAGTTATGGGAGGGTCGTAGCATCCCACCCCAGTTTAAATACTCAAAGTGTTATCAACGCCTCAGAAGGTCCGGGAAAGGAGAACCCTGTTTTCCATCTCAAAGGAAAGAGTCATGAGATTTTCTTGTGATATATGGGAAAGGCAGAAGGCAGGATTTTCTTAGTTTTTCTTAACACTAAAAGGAAAACCAACTTCACTCCTTTCAAAGCATGATAAATTGCTGCA